TGAAGGATGTGGTTAAAAAAAGAAAACTACATAAAAGTTGCTTTAAATGAAATAAAAATATACAAATAGATTAAGAAAATTGTTTAAGTCAAAAGACTGGTAATACCATCAAGGCATATGATTTAGCTCTGTTATTTACTGTAATGCTGCTATATACTCTTACCAATAGGATCCTGTTTCTCCTCTTCATTCTCTAGTTTCATATCTGCACCCTCATCGCAGGTTTCTATAAAGAAGCAAATATATTAAATTGATTCCAGTTGACCCTCACAACCATTTAGTATTCAGAGTTGGCAATGTTGTGTCATGAAACCTATAATATACAGTATAGCATTGGTTTTAACTGTAAACTTACCCATTCCATCTTCCTCCTGGGGGTTGACTTCAGGCTTGTCTGTATTCATTATGGAGATGATCTAAAACAAGATTACAATATTATCTGACACCTTCGTCTGCATATGTTTTGCTCTTAGTCTATTCTGCCTTGCACTAACTACAAACAAACAAGTGACCATCTTACAACAAGAAAAGGTGGGATTGTGGTTTCCTTTCTTTATACTACGTGCTTTTGACACACAACTTAGTATAATGTCCTTTACCCTAGTTCTTCAAAGAACTTTCTGCAAAAAGCATGGCCACAAATACACAGAACCCATTGCCGACTACACTGTTCCTGTTAAGGCAATATATAGAAATTTGTTTTTAAAGTAGAAGCCCATGGTTGACTGCTCGACCTTGTCTCTACATTTAGCCGAGTGAGAAAAAATGATATTCACTGCAGTTGCATTTCCTGCCACCTCTGAAGATAGGAGCGAAAAGTGCTTCATATGCTAACAGCTACTCACATTTCCAGTACCAACTTTTTTTTACGAAAAAAATAATGAAAATATATGATGAACATGCTACGTATAATTTGTGCAATTTTAGTCATTGGGTAAACACAGGATAATTACATTCACATAAATTAGATGTATCTCATTTACAGCTATTGAAGTTAGAAATGCACAACAATACCAAATACAAAGACAACAAATTATTTTAAGGCTCTCAAATTATGAAAACCTAAAGCTATATTACATGGACTTACTAAGAAAATGAACAAACATAATTAATACTAACTTAACTTTATATGTTCTTTGTACTGACATGAAATAATTTTATATCATTAGCTATAATATTGTAATTGTAACTATTAAAATCTTACCTTTACAGAAGAGCAGGTGTCCGTATAGATCTGTGTAGAATCCTCACTCCTCGAATAGACGTGATGTGAATATGGAATAAAAGCAACGTCACTCAGTTGAATTTTGGAGAAATCCCTTAAAGGAACAGGAACTGGTTTAGAACAAGGTGGAGCAACAACACTCAATACTTTACAACTACATGGTATTTAATATATATATATGTATTTTTGTTTCATTATTTTTAATATCGTGCTGAAAACCTTGCCATGAAAAGTTAGAAAAAGTGTATTCAAAGTAAAACAGATAATTAAATGCAGTTTCATATAAATGGTTTACATGACGTTAGAGTTACAGAAGGAGCTACACCTCCATCTTGTGGCTAAACATGAACTTTGTCAAGTAAATGTCTAATTGCTTGTACAAATTTAAGTGCTATGTATTACTACTACTACTACTAATTATTACTAATCGCTACACAACTCGTACAAAATATCAGTGGGTTTCAGTGTGGTGATAATTGACCATTCCAATAGCAATTAACTAGACTAAATACTGCATCTTTTGATTGGTGAAAAGTGTTCAAAATATAAATGTTATGTTAAAAATATAATGTTACTATAATGGACTTCAAAATGTACAGAAAAAGTAAAAGTGTTTATTTCCACAATCCACATTGCCACTAATTAAATTTTAGTTTAGTTTTTGGAGTTTTAATTCATAGTACAGTACTGTGGAATATTATGATCAAAGTAACACTTCCATGGAGACAAGTGGTGTACACAAGTGGTGTACACATTTGGATAACCAAACATAGTTATTTTAGATACAAATGCACCAGCTTTCTAACTAACATGCTTTGCTATACCCACTGAACCAGCAAAACAAGCTCATTATCAAACCAATGTAAAACTCTACATTATTACCTCTTGTTAACCCTGGAGTGACCCCCTCTGAGTCCCCTGCAGCGCCCCCCTCTGCCCCAAAAACACACTCACACAGACGCAGACACCTCATAAAGTTCAATAATAAACTGGTCCGCTCCAGCCCCCAAAACAGTGGGCTGTCTGCTAACTACCGCAAATCCTGTACACTCACTCTACAGTCTCATTAAGGCCATTTACCGAAAACTGTCTGGATATACGTCATTGCTTTCTGGTAGACCTGACACAAAAATTACTATGTTGACTTATCCTTCAGTAAATGAGAGACTGATGATACATTCTGATTCTAAACTGATTCTAAGCAACCTGGTTGTTATTACTTTCCTAGAATGTTCCACAGTATGGTATTAAACTAGAACAAGTTACAGGTTAGATTGGTGGATCCAGCTCACATACTATACATGTTTTATAAAATATTTTTTTGGCAATCAAAGCATCTGTAAATTGAATAAATACAAAATATGTGAGTAAGTAAAATACATTAAATATGTTTTAAGCCTTGCTACAGTAAAACATTACATGCAAAGCAAAAGCATCTCCACTGAGCAGTGGTAGCCTTGAGAAAATGTACATAAGGCATATTTAAGAAGTCTATGGTGTTTTTGCACTATTTGACTTTTTATAGGTTTTAAGATAAAGAATTACTGGCCATCTAATTCCTTTTTGCTTCACATTTCTGTCCCTAGTCTTGTGTATATAGTGTTAAAAAGGCTTATACAACACTTAAGAATGATTAACTTTCCCACAGTAGGTCATTATCAGCACAGTCCAAGTTTGAAGCAATAGACAGGGGTAAAGACAGAGTTTGTGATGATTTATGGTAACAAATGGAGACACCACAGACGCGCCACAACAAGTCAACAACAAGGAACTTTAAGTTTTATGTTGCAACTTGACCAAATGCTCCATTTTCAACACAATTTTGTTTTGAAAACCTACCTCACAGTTAAGTACTTCAAATGTGTTTCAGTACCTTTCATTAAACTTGATAGATAGAAAAAAAAAAAGCTTGAATAAATTGGTTCTCAAAAGTTTACCACAACATAACTCTTTAAGAAAACAAAATAGATCACCAACCAGATTTGAACCTGATTTACAGTATGGCTAAATCAGGTCTAAACTAGGACTAAACCTAGTCTTAAATGGGAAATAGTGATTCTGAATTAGGCTTAACACAAAAATTACATAAAAGATATATAACATTAAGTTAATGATTTTCCAAGCAACCTCAGATTTGAACCAGAGTTTTAACTGGTCAAGGTCACGTCAACAAATATCACCACAAATACTAGAAACACTGCTTTAATGTACAATACAATAATTGGAACAACAACGTAATAAAAAAAAAAAAAAAAGTTTAAAGATTTTTAGTCTTGTTTCATTTGCTGAGCCATGCAAGACCTAAGTGTGGGGGCTGTCATTACCTCGCATTGTTGCACCCACCTGTGCGAACAACCAGACCCCCTCTTTCTTTCCCTTTCTCAATCTCTCTCTCCTGGCTTTGGCCCATGATCCGCCTATGGCAACGGGCCACCAGCTTCAAGAAGAAAGAAGAAAGCCTTAGAGAGAGAGAAAGCACCCTCACAAAAGCATTACAATACATGCTGGGTTTCCATGGCAAAGTGCAGGCAAAGGAACAGAGGAGAGAGAGCCCAATAAAAGCTTATGATTTGGGACTCCGAAGGCCGGGGCGGAGGTCTTAGCACAGGCAGAACAAAGTAGAGCAAGGATTTACACAGTCTTTCATGATCTCAAGTGTGCACACATATTAAAATCTACGGAAAAAAATACTATACTGCTATTCTTTTTAGAGGCTATTTAGGAGGTTTGGAAGAGGGTAGGGAGTTAAGGAGGAAGGGGGGTATACTCACTGTCCATTTGCCTTTTATAGCTGCGTACTCATGGTAGTTGTGAGAAAAGGGAAGAGAGAGAGAGAAAGAGAGAAAGATACAGAGCAAAAGAGAAAGATACAGAGAGGGAGGGAGAGAAAGATAGAAAAAGAGAAAGGGAGAGAGCGAGAGCGCCGGAGAAAGAGAGAGGAGGTATCTGGGAGACAATGTAATGAGAGGTGGTGGGGGGATGTGTTTTTTAAAAGGAGTTGACCACTTGACGAGGTTTTTGCCCCCGGAGGCAATTACAGTACATGTGTGAGCCAGTTGGACTTGATTAAAGGAGGAGGAATTTTGTTGTTGCTAATGACATGCTATTTTTCCAGAATTAATCCAAAAGCTTAGAGCGATCGTTAAAAAGACATCTGAGGTTTGAGAAAATAATAAAATGCATGGTTAGATAGTTATGCATGTGAACAAGTGTTTTTTTTTTTTTTCTCTTGCAGCAGTGAGACAGGAGAGGTAGAGGGAACAGGCTGCCTCTCCTCTCTCACTTTGTACAAAAGGGGCGTGTCTTTAGACCAGTATAAAGTCCAAGCAGATTCACTCACATTGAGCCAGTCCTTTGCTCTGGACAGACCAGCAAGACAACTCACTCACAGCTATTGCAACATTAACAACTGGACTTTGATTTCTGCAAAAAGCTGACTTCAAAAGCAAGACTGTTCTGTGGATGTCGGACAGGATAACAATTCTACAACTGCCCATGCCAAGATTAAAGAAGTTTGTCAGCCAAGTCTGATGAAACGCTGGGTTCAATTTCAATTGTGAAACTGAAGCAGTGGAGCAAAAGTGGCAGCACAGCAGTGGCACGGTGTTCCTGCAATTGAGACCTGCAGATTATATCAGAGATTCTAGACAAAGCAGTGCTCTTTCAAATGGTGTTTTAATAGTTTTTGGTGCAAGAAGTGGTGACTATTGAAGAAAAGAGGAAAAGAAGATCTACTTCATCTTATCTTAGGTTTGAGAGCAGGTGAGGGGCTACCATGATGCGTGGAGCTCCGTCCTGCTGGAGCTTAGGAGCGCTGTGGCTTACGCTGTCCCTGGCCGCTCTGGGCTTTTCGGACCAAGCTATCCGCTGTCCCATCTGCACAGAAGAGAAACTAGCCACCTGTCGCCTGCCAGATGGGTGCGAGGAGACGGTGAGGGAGCCTGGGTGCGGGTGCTGCCCCACCTGTGCCCTGCCCAAAGGGGCGTTCTGTGGGGTGTACTCTCCCCGCTGTGGCACAGGGCTCCGCTGTTACCCGCCTCGAGGAGTGGAGAGACCACTGCACTTGCTCATGCACGGTCAGGGGGTGTGCACGGACGAGAGGGAGCTGGAGGACAACTCAGGTGAGATACACATTCAGATAATCAATAGTTAAGTAAGTTTCATTAGAGACTTGAAGTGCACATGATGGGTTTTCATGTTTTTTGCAATAATTACTTTATTTGGTTGGAACATAGCTGTTAATTTTTTTCTACCTGTCAAATGTTTTTTGAAGGAAATTTGAAAAAAAAAAAAAAATTAAAAGTACATTAAGTATATTTATTGATGAGGTATTCCATCTAAAGAACAAAATTCCATCATTAGAAGTCATGTGAAATGTATGCGCAAGAAACACATTTCTCTGAGATTCAATTTAAATGTGATGTCATAATTCTAATTCATCAAACAGTAACTATTGTGTAAAGTAGATATGTTTGGCCATTGTCTACAGTACGGTTTCTATAGGTAACAGTTACAGAATCACCAAACTTCACCAGAATTGTCAAACTAGGAAAAGTTTTAGTGACACTGGTAGTGTAGCCTGTCATATGCACTGCAGTCAAAAAATGCTTCAGATGACTATGTATGTAGATTAAAGGGTAACAACATACCAGTATGTGTTCTGCTGCTCCACATGTTCTTCATAGACAGCCATTGTTTGGTACACTATTCATGCAACACTGGTTAGAGCATGTTATCAAATTTTGCCAGTTTGAAAACAATTTTAAACATGTGTATTTGAATCCTTCAAGGTCATTTCATCTGTATTTGTAATTCACAATCAATGTATTATGCACTATTTAAAACATCAGAATAATCAAAACATTGGGTGCAGGCATGATTAGGTTAAGCAGAGCCATTAAAAGTATATTTACAATGAAAATAACTCTTAACAACACAGCAAACTACATACCCACATCTCGGCTCTTAGCTCTGTTTTTCCTGCCTTTACTCTATATGGCCCTTACCTGCAGCACTTAAAGGTCAAAGTTCGGGGGGTGTGACAATGTCTTGCTTGTTTACCCTAATCACAGCTTAGCTCCTAAACAGAGCGTGAACACACTCCAACCCCTATAATGGTAGGTCAGCTTTGAGCCTTTTAAAGGCGATGAGAGGGGGGCATGTAAAACTGTACCAGCTTTGCGGACAGCTGTGGTCACCCTTGTATTTGAATATGTAATGAAATTTTATGGGTGTATACATTTTATTAACCTGAGTGTATCTGGTTAATAACCCCTTTGAACTTTATGTGCAGGTAGAGGCATTGTGGTAGAAGTATGAGGCTGTGTGTGTGTTGGTAATGGGAGAGGGTAATAAAAGCTGCCCTATGAAATGGCTGTAATGGAGTGTGGCCAGTCTGGGGCTATTAGAGCTCTCTGCAATCAGTAATTCACTTGTGCTCCTTCAACAACGCTGTGTTACTCCCTCTCCCTCCTCCTCCTCTTTTTCTTTCTCTTCCTCCCTTTCTCTCCACCCCTCTTTCTGTCATTCCCCTCCCTCTCTCTCCCTCTCTTAGCTGTAACGGCACATGTCCAACTCATAATCCTGTGTCATATCTTCATTAGTCGACTCTATTCAAGGCCATCTCTGCATTATAGCATTCACCTTCTTGCAAAGGTTTCTACTTTTTTCCACTGTGGAGTATCTTATCTGAATTTAATGAAGTTGCAGAACTCTACCGAACCCTGTGTAGTCTATAGTCCTTGACCTTTAAAGGTGCACTATGTAACTTTTCTGGTGAAAGGTCAACCACTTGTTGTCCATATGGCATTAATTTATCAACAGGGTCACCTCTCCACCGATGTGACCTGTAGCTTGTGGCCTGGTGATGTTGCCTATGCCTATGGAGCCAGATAAGTTTAGTACCATACATTTTATAGTGGTACATGAACAATCACAAGTATTATTCATGATATAATTTACAATCAAACCTTCATTAAACACAATACGTCAATAGTTGAATGTGTTTCCAACATAGATGTCTCTTTCATATCTTCCATATAATCGAGTTAGTGCTCTCCCACACACTTGCTAATGGTTTTGGTGCTATCCCTCGGCAACACAAGAACACCAAAGGTTTGGCTCAGCTCAGGCCATATAAAGGTCCCAGGGCGCTCATCTCCAGTGTAGCATCTGTTCCCCTCTGGCTTATGGATGTACCCCCCTCACCCCCCCCTCACCCCCACCCATCCCGACAACACTAGCCCTAACTAACAAGGCTTACAACATGGTCCAGCCCATTGAAAAGGATGAGCTCATCACCACTCTCGCTGCCAGAGTTGAAATGAGAGCCTTCTGGTCTGTGCGCAGGGCCTTGGTAGGTTCGGCCGGCACATAGCGTGACTAAATGGAATCAGAAAGAAGAGGAAAGCTGTTTAGAGACTGATAAAAACTAAAGGCTGTGCGCACTTGGCTCAGCTTTGTAAATTCACGCTTCTTCAGTTAACATAAGAGTTTTGAATTAAAGGTCTCATATGTAATGGATTTCAATACAACTATTCATTACGATGTTACATTGTGGTAGAAACTGCTATAAATGGTTATGTGTGCTTGGCAAGATAACATCATAATAAGATGTTTGAGATATTGTTTTGGCTATAGTTAGACAACTTTTCATTTTGTGGGCTTATGCTAAACTTAAAGCTAATAATTATTAAATATTGGTATATTCATTGAGATATACTCAATGCTGCTTTGTAGTGGTAAGCATGTGCCCACAACTGCCCTAGGGCAGACTAAGTGAAATGTGGCAGCCAGTCTCTGAAAATGGCCTCGCAAACCACTGCCATTCACACACCCTCACACATTTATACATGACAATATGGGTGAAGTCAAGCATCTTGGCCAAAAACACAAGTCGCTTAGTCCATAACCTTTGTCCAATCTTTCTTTAAGATTTTTCCAGTCTATTAGCTAATTGTGTGTGTCATAATTTGCTTCTTTTTTTTTTAATTTCTGAAGTTTTAGACCTGTTGTTGTGTAACCCCTAACTGGGGATGAAGGCTGCAAATTAGTCTTAAGTACAAGCACATCAATATCACTTATTTGCCTTGTACTTTGACACTACATGCCAGGATCAAGCTGTTTCTTGCTAGAACATTATTTTTATTGGCATTACAAAAACCCTAACTTAAAATAAAATTATCAGCCAAATTGTAAATGAGTGAAGTAACTTTTCTTACTGATTTATAGCTTGCATATTGACACTTCTGGAGTTCACAAGGTTGTCAAAAATCTAAACCGGAGTACTGGGTTTGTTGGCCTCAGTGCTGCTTCTCATCCGTGCAGTCTGTCATAACAAAAAATAAAGAGCTCTGCCCATTAAATCTCACTGTAAATGTATTTTTCTGGGCATCACTCTATAAGAATGTAAACCAATGTAAACCAGTATAATGTGCATAGGCTGTAGACAATCAGAACAGCTCTGGGGATAAAGGAGAAACTCCAGTTTGAAGCACTAGATTTCCTTTGTGGCACATTTCACCAGTACTTATGCATTATTAAACAAGGGGGTGCATCTCCTGAATACACACTGCCCCACTCCTAGCAACAGTGAGCGAACGGGAATAAAAATAGAAAGTGTTTCTTAAAACCAACAGAATTCGTAATAAAAAGGACAGAGAGAAACAGGGAGAAGGAGAATTTGAATGTGGGTTGGTAAAACAAAAAAACAAAACCAAAAAAACAAGAAACCAAAAGTTATAAAAAAGAGATAAAAGTGTATTTCTAAAACTTTTCACAGTACAGCCTATGAGAGTCTAAGCTATTAAAATAGTTATAAAGCAGAAATTCACCAGTCCAAAAGTTGAATAAAGCCAGTCCAGACCCAAACATAAACTAACTATCAGGATCAAGCCAGAACTAAACAGAGCTGAATCAGGTTTATACCAGGACTATGCCAGGACTAACACAAGTTTGTCCATTACAAACTGTGACTAGGGATGCACCATTATGGTACTGGTACCAGATGTCAGTGCCACTATTGAACATATTGCTGGATCAGATATTGTTTTCCAAGATATCGGTTTAGTCAATTTCCAATTTTGGTCTGTAAATTGGCGCATTAAGATGGTTTACTAGCTACTGTTGGTCCAAAACATCTCATAATATTTTCTAACTACAGCTTTGTAAAAACACATTTTGATTATATTTTACCTGACACTGTTTGTGTTTAAAGGAAGTGATTTTCAGTCTCTGCCCTGGTATTGTTTGAGAACTGGGTATTGGCAGGTATTTAAATTAAAGTATTGATATTAGTATTGGAACAGCAAAACCTGGATTAGTGCTTCCCTAATGGTGATTAAATAAAATGACATATAGAGGAGCAAACAAGAGCTAAACAATACCACCTTGTCAATGCCCAATCACTACTCCAAAGCTAGGCAGAATTAGGCCTGATAAGTACTTAAATTGGGATAATGCTGGAAATACACAGTGGCTCTATAGTGAATACTGCTGTTGTGTTCTTGCAATACACTTCACCTCCCTTGCGAATGTATATTAGTCTTTGGTGATGGTGGCACAGATTGGCAGCCTTGCTTCTGTCAGCTTACACCAGGGCAGCTGTGGCTACAACAGGAGTTTACCACTACAAGTGTGGCGTTAATGAATAACCAAATTGTAAAAGAGACTTTGAGTGTCTGGAAAAGCACAATATAATACTAATACATTATTATTATTGCTAAAGCCAGCCAACACTGATCTCTCCTCATATGTCTCTGCATCCCATTCACTGACTCTTTCTCTTTTTTTGCTCTGGGAATAAAAATGTAGCGCATGTTTTTGGTTCCGGCTGTGTCCACTCCGGTGTCGAGTTCATGGACTTCTTCCTCCTTCCTGATTCGTGATATTATTTACAAACTGATTCTGATGTCTGATATCACATCCACTGCATAAATAGTGGAACCTATAGAAAGTCAACTTTGCCACTACAATGGCTATTAGAGAATACAGTATACATATTAAAGAGACTGTACCAGACTGTTATTTCTTCTAGTTCAAAAATGCCCTTTACATAACCAATGTATTTAAAAAGGTATTTTGTTGAATGTGGACCATATAGAAGCAAATGCCTGGAAAACCA